CCTCTAAATCACCTTGTACATTTGTTGTTTTCCCCAGTGTACAGAACTCACTGTTCTAAGTGACCTGTTACGTTTGTTATTGTGGTGTACTGAACTCTATGTTCTGAGTGTTCTGTTACATTTGTTTTCTCCTAATGTATGTACAGAATAAAGGTGTAGTAAGCTAGGGGTTGCAAGCTTTCAGCTTTGCAGCCCAGAGCAGCACTGATCAGGCTCAAGCTCAGCTTCTTCTCAAAGGCTCATTTTTTCTCTTTCCTGTATAATAAGTTAACTCGTGCTGTCGTGGCTCACAGGAGAATAGGACCTGATACAGAGGTTCTGGTAACGTCCCCTTTCCCTGTTCCCTACACCTAAACACATTTCTTTTTTGTAGCTCCTTGGACGGCTATCCTCAGTGGAGTACTATGAACATGACAGAGCAGGATAAGATAGTTTTCCCTGTTAACAGTTCATCCTCCTGGTTTTTGGTTCATCCTTATTTGTGAGTTTCTCTGGTGTGAAAAACTATAATGGTGCATAAGATCCTAATGATATAATTGACAATGTGAAATAGGAAGAAAAGGGCTGAAGGTGTAGGGGAAATGGGAAGAGTAGGGGAAAGGAAATAAGAGAAAAGAAAAAAATAGAAGAAAATGAAAATAAAGTATTTGTGAAAGCGAGATGGTTTCTAGATGCTTTCATAGGTAAATGGATGCAACTTGTGACCAGAATGTTAAGTAAAATCAGTCAGACACACAAGCTTAAGTATCTCTCTTTTTTCTTTTTTTTTTTTTTTTTTTTTTTTTTTGGTACCAGGGGTCTAACTTGGGCCCTTGTGCTTGCGAGGCAGGCGGCAGAACCACTAAGCTAAATCCCTGGCCACATAGTTTCTCTTATATGAGAAACAGCATATGTATATTAATGGGAGTAGGGAGAAGTTTGAATACTTCCCCAAATTATCTATTCTATTGTGTCAGAAGTAGTGTAATATATATGCCAGTTTGTTTCATTTATACTAATAGTTTATCTTCATTCCTTGAAAAGAAAGTTCTGGATTATTTGTTTCGTTGTAAAGATCTTTTGGTCTATATCTTGTGCTCTGCATAACTACTTTGAAGATAGATAGTGATACACAGTGTATTAACTAAAGTTATTCTCTTAATATTTAGTTAGGAAATTTTGTTTTATTTTTTCATAAAGAAGAAACCACCTGGCTGCTGAGTCATCTGAACAACTATATCCCTGGGGAATTGTGGGAAAACAGGCATAAGCCAGCTGAGCCCAAGGGCAGAAAGGAGAATAACCTGCAGAGAGTCAAAGAACTTTCTGCATAGACAAGGTGCCCAGAGTCCTGTGTGACTCTAGGCCAATGGGATGATGACACAGGGAAGGCAAGGCAGTTTGGCCAGTATGAAGAAATTCTTCCTGGGGTAGAGAGGTGCCAGCAGGGAAGGAGACTGCCATGGAAGGGGTAAATAACCCACCATGCAAGTTTGATCCAGACTGGCTTTACATCAGCAAAATGGTGGTATTCAAATACTGTATTTTAGAAATTCAGATCATGTTAAAGAAGTATTCATTGTATTCAGGAATCACCTATTCCCCACTACTGTGTGACCCTTCTCCTGGCAATGTCTGAGAAAAGGTGCTGTCTTGGGCACCATGAGCTAGCCTGTTAGCATTGAGAGCCTTGCTGAAAACTGGCCTTTGTCTTGTCCAATCCACATACTGCTTGACAGCTGTTTTCCAGCTCAAGACCAAGTTAATCATATTTGTAACCTTATTACCAGGATCTGATCAGGTAACCCTTTAAGCTTCTGTTGAGAAATTGGCTTTAAATAATAGGCTGAGTTACCATTTTTTTCTTTTTTTATTGAATTTATTGGTGCTTTTTAAGTATAGAGTAAGTTACATTCATCATTGGGATCTTGCATTGCCATTTTTATAGATCAAAAATGGTTCAATATTAACAATTATGGTTCAACCTGCCACATGATTGAAACTGATAATTTGTAATTTTATACCGATTATAGCCTTCCTGTACATATACCTGCAAAACCCTGAGTAATGTGACATCTCAAACTCAGCTGTTTTCTGTGTCTTCACCACCCAGCATTCACCAGTATCTAAGCCTAATGGTCATAAATTTAACAAACCTTCTGCATTTTAACAAAGTGGTGCTTTTCTGAGTGGCTTGTTTTCACCTTTTACACCTGCCCAGTAGAGAGCAGAGAGATTTTTTAAACTTAGGGACCTCCAATTGGCACCGTGTAACCCTACCTCCTGGCTGACTTTGTTCCTCAGCATATTTGTTTGTTTGTTTGTTTATACTGTTTTTATTTTCTTTTTTCTTCCTTCACCATTGTTGGTGGGAGTGCAGACTGGTGCAACCACTATGGAAATCGACATGGAGATACCTCAAAGAGCTGGGACTAGAGGTTCCATTTGACCCAGCCATCCCTCTACTGGGTATCTTTCCAAAAGAATTAAAAGAATCATATCACAGTGATATATGCACACCTATGTTTATAGTGGCACAGTTTGTAATAGCTAAAACTTGGAAGCAGCCCATTTGCCCATCGGTTGGAAACTGGATAAAGAAGATGTGTTTTTTTCTATAAAATGTTCCTCAGCATTTAAATAGGAATGGGGAATATTGATGACATTGTGCTAAGTGAAATATGACAGATACAAAAAGACAAATACTACGTGATTCCACTTATATGAGGTACCTGAAATAGTCAATTTCACAGAGACAAAAAGTAGGACAGTGTTTACTAGGGGCTGGGATACAGAGTGGTAAGGGGAATTGTTCCTTAATGGAGATGGATGGTAATAATGGTAACATAACAATGTGATGTACTTAATGCTACTGAACTGTGTAATTTTAAATGGTTAAGATGGTAAATGTTATATTTATTTTATCACAATATTTTTTTCTCTCATTATGTTTATTGGTACGTTTTAGGTATAAAGTACAGTTATATTCATCATTGGGATCTTGTACCTTTACATGACAGATCTTGGTTCTCATTTTTTCCCCTTATCCCTGACTTCCTTCACCCCCTCCTCCCTTCCCTATTTACAAATACTTTTCCATTTTTTCATTTTCTCATATTTTTTTCTTTTCCCTTAATACCTTTCCCTTATGCTTCCCACTTCCCCTACACCTTTAGCCCTTTTCTTCCTATTTCACATTGTCTGTTATATCATTAGGATCTTATGTACCTTTATAGTTTTCCACACCAGAGAAACTATTTGGTATTTATACATGTGTGACTTATTTATTTCACTTAGGAGTATATCCTCAATATGAATCCATTTTCCTATGAATGAAGCTAATTTCTCATTCTTTATGGCTGAGTAATATTTCATTTTATAGAAAAACCACATCTTCTTTGTCCAGTCTCCAACTGATGGGCAAATGGGCTGTTTCCAAGTTTTAGCTATAACAAACTGTGCCGCTTGTTTAAACATAGGTGCGCATATATCACTGTGGTATGATTCTTTTAATTCTTTTGGGAAGATACCCAGCAAAAGAATGGCTGGGTCAAATGGAACCTCTAGTCCCAGCTCTTTGAGGTATCTCCATATCGATTTCCATAGTGGTTGCACCAGTCTGCACTTCTACCAACAATGGAGAAGGGTTCCTTTCTCCACACAACCCCACCAACATTTGTTATTGGTTGATTTCTTGATAGCAGCCATTCTTTGTGGGGTGAGGTGGAATCTCAGTGTTGTTCTCGTCTGCATCTCTCAAATGAACAGTGATGTGGAACATTTTTTCGTGTATTTACTTGCTGCTTTAACTTCTTTTTCTGAGAAATATCTGTTCATTTCAGATGTCCATTTTTGAATCGGGTCTTTATTTTGGGGGGGGCTGGTTTTTTGTGTTCTTTATATATTCTAGATAATAGTCCTTTGTCTGAGGAGTAGCTGGTAAAATTTTTTTCACACATTGTAGGTTGTCTCTTAGTTCTGTTGATGGTTTCTTTTGCAGTGCAGAAGAAGCTTTTTAATAAGATGAGATCCCAGTTGTTGATTCTTTCTATTTCCCATGCTACTGGGGGTTTGTTCATGAAGTCTTTTCCTATGCCAGTGTCTTCAAGAGTTCTGCCTAACTTATTTTCCATCACTATATTTTTAAAAGGAGCCATATCACCTATTGCCATATGCTGACACCAGATCCAACCTTGGTGTTCATCTAAAAAAGGTGGTAAGAAAATACATAACACTTCAGCTGTTTTAATCCATTTTGTGTTACAATAACAAAATACCTGAGGCTCGCTACTTCACATAGAAGAGAGATTTATTTTGGCTCACAGGTTTGGTAGCAAGGAAGCTCAGGAGCATGGCACCAGGATCAGTTGGGCTTCTGGTGAGGGTTTCATAATGGAAAAGCAGAAGGGCACATGTGGAAGAGCATGAGTGTGATAATAAGACAAAAGGGAAACTGACCTGCTCTATAACAACCTGTTCTTGTAGTAAATAATCCAGTCCCAAGAGATGTAACTCACTCCCTGAGACCTAATCCAATCTCAGAGAACTAGCTCAATCTCTCAAGAAAGTCATTAATCCACTCACAAGGGCAGTACCCCCATGACCTAATTACGGCCCACTAGGGCCCCCCTCTTAAATAGTCCCACTACCTCTCATTGTCACTATACTGGAGACCAGCCTCCAATCACATGAACCTCTGGGAGATAAACCATTTCCAAACCATATCGCTATCCTTATGTCGTCATCTCCAGCTGGGTTTCTCAGAGTGGCTCCCCTTCTGCCAGGCCATCTTGCAGGTACCACATATTCCTATTCAGGTAAGGGTACTTTTGAAGCTCTATTTGTTGAGGGTTCTTGGGATCAAATCCAGTCCTGTATATACTAGGCAAGCACTTTACCAACTTACTTTTTGGTCTTCTCAAAGGATGAAATTACTCAGCTTTTTGGAACCAAATGTCTTAGGAACAAAGTTCTATGGTCAAACCCATTAATCATCTTATGGCTTGTTTTTGGTTTTCCAGAACAACTTCAAAAACATATCCACAGTCTCCAAAGACTGTGAAGCCACCATACCAAGGATCTCCTGTGAAGTACCGCTTTCCCCCCAATCCCAGCCAAGAGACACTCAAGAAGAAAGCAGAGAAAGAGAAGAGTAATAAGGAAAGGGAAAATGCTTCCGGTCTTCAGGCTGCTGGCCCACCTGGAGAGGAAATCCCAGAGAAGCATGTGACAGACAAGCAGGCCACAGAGAAGCATGTGGTGGCCAAGCAGGCCACTGAGAAGAATGAGGCAGACAAACATGCTACTGAGAAGCATGTGGTGGCCAAGCAGGCCACCGAGAAGCATGAGGCAGACAAGCAGGCCACCGAGAAGCACAAGGCAGACAAACATGCTACCGAGAAGCATGAGGCAGACAAGCAGGCCACTGAGAAGCACATGGTGGACAAGCACACCACAGAGAAGCATGCTACCATAGGAGGGAGGGCCGAGAGCAGTACAGGTAGACCTTCTTTGTCAGTGTCGCCACTGGGTGGTAGCGTTCCAAAGATGGCTCTCCCTGATCCAGTCTGCTTGCCATTTTCTCGTGTTTAGGGAGAGAGGGGGGTTCTCCTTGGGAAAATGGCATCCCCTTGTAGTGCTTTATCTGGCTTGCTTGCTGCTCCTGAGACCCTCCACACTATCTCCCGAGCATCCCCTTGAGGAACATACCTAGGGGCTGACTCTTCTCACAGCTGTGGAAACTCACAGGAGTGTCCAGTTAGATAAGCTGCAGCCAGCTGGCATCTGCACTTCCCATAAGAAAGGGTCTTCCTTCAGTTCTTAAAGCCTCTGTGATTCAGTGTGTTTGCCTAGATAGCAGCTGCTGGGAGACTTGCTTGTGACTCTGTTTTTCTTTCTCAGCTGTCCACCACCCTTTACTGTGGAATGAACCTAGCCAGGGCCACAGCTGGCCTATCACAGCTTCTGCTCAGTGGTTTATTGTGACACTGTCCTGGCAGCATTTCCCATCACCACACTGCATTGGATTTTTTTGTATCTGAGCAGCAGCTGCTGTTTGTGTGGAAACATTACTGGTATGTTCATTTACCTTGATCTTTTCTTCTTACTGCCTCTTTTCTGACATAGCTTTGGGGAAGCCCACAGCAGGCACCACGGATGCAGGAGAGGCTGCAAAGATCCTGGCTGAAAAGAGACGACAGGCTCGGCTGCAGAAAGAACAGGAGGAACAAGAACGCCTGGAGAAAGAAGAACAGGAGAGGTATGCAAGTGCTCAGAGCTTCAGCAGGATCTTATGTAAAAGCTGGGATGCAAAGAGCAGCTTGCCTTTCTCTTTGTGATTTTGGTTTGCTAAAACCTAAGCAGAAGTATAAGACCTAGAATGGCTGGACTGTATCTTCTGTTTACAGGTGGAACTTTGCTCTTTTTAGAGGACCTGAACACATAGGGGTTGGATCTAAACGTTACAGGCAGCTTCCCTTTCTCCTCTTGAACTTGGAGAACAGGCAGGCCTACGGGGAGAATGTGGACTATAGAATAAAAATGGCCTTGGGAAGACAGAAGGTTCTGGATATAGAGAATTTGCTTCTGCTTCCCAAATTGTTTTCTCTCCCAGCTTATCCTAACTTATACCCTAGAGTGAGAGTGAAAAGAATTGGGCAGGGTCCCCTAGATGGGGGGATAAGGGGAGCCAAGCTCATAGCCCATGAACAATGAGCTGTGGGGAAGACCTTACAAAACATGTCACTGCAGTGGTCCTTAAACTTTGGAGGGTGTCAGAATCATGCAGAGAACACAGTGAAGATGCACTGGTCTAAGCCCTGCTCTGTTTTAGTAGCTCAGCAGTGTTCAGTGTGGCGATAGTGCCAGGCCACTTTGTGGCAGTACAGTCCTGCCTTTTCTGATCTTTGTATTCAGAGAGGGAATACATACATATTAAAGGACAAGGTTGATTTTTATTGGTAAGGGAAGCTTTTAGAATAATCAGAGTGCAATCCAGTGCTGTTTAGAGAGCGAACACAGCAAGAAGCAAGTGGTGTTATGGCACTGGAAGGCCTTCGCTGAATTTAAATTAATAAATAGTAAGTTATTCTCGATCCTTTATGATCTCTGCTTACAGGTTTACTGATCTGATTTTGTGTGTGTGTATGTGGTACTGAGGATTGAACACAGGGCCTTCACAGTGATCTGCATCTCCAGCCCACTTATATTTTATGTTAAGTTTAGGTATATTTTAGGTACATATTATGATCACATTCATCATTGGGAATTTGTACCTGTACATGATATATCTTGGTTCTTGTTTTTTGCACATTCCCTTTCCCTCCACTAAGTCTAGTTCATGCGGTAGAGGGTGACAGATAAATAGTTACCGCAATTTGCCACTTATTTTTATTACCTGTTTTGAGACAGGCTTTCACTAAGTCACTGAGGTGCCCAGGTGAGGCTCAAATTTGGGGCTCCTTCTGCCTCAGCCTCCCAGAGTGCTGAGATTACCAGTGCCTGCCACCAACCTGACTTAATCTAATTTTTTAAATTTGTGGTATCTGGCTGATTCCTTCTTCAGTTCTGGGTTACTGCAATTATTTTCTAATTCCAGCCTTTCAGTTAACAACAGTAGACTTGGTTCTTGTTGAGTGTTCAGGCTTGCTTGGGTGGGCCATAGGTCATGTGAAGGGAGCTCACAGGATGATGAATCACAGGACCTCAAATGACAGGCTTTGGTAATTGCAGGCCCTCGAGGTAAGGTACATGCTCTGAGCTGGAGAGTGATAAGATTGTGGTTGTGTGCTTAGGAAGGGGAAGTTCTCTACCTTTTGGCCACCATCCTTTCTCTTACATTACCTTCACAGCCCAGCTCCTGAATATTGATTGTACTTCCTATCTTTACTTCCTCAACTCACACTTACTCTTCCAACCTTGTATCTACCATTACTCCTAATCTCTAGACTCCTGAGTCTCATCTATCCACTCCTCATCCCTTAAATATTATCTTAGCTTCCAGTCCTCAGTTTTTGGTCAGCTTCTTACCTGACAAGTCCTCTCTGAATAGTATTGTTCCCTCCTGCTCTGTGATTATCCTTACCACACTACTAGTTTCCTCTGGCTTCAAAGGATTTAGGGTTCATATTTCATGCAGCAGTCACATGTTGAGCCTTTGGTGTGTTAAATCAACTATCCTGTCCTCTCATTTTCTACCCTCTTTCTCCCTTTGCCTTGTTTTATCGTCTGTTTCTTAAAGCTAATTTCATCTTGCTTTGTAAACTTTCCAGACTTTCTGGAGTAAGGGAGGTACTATATAACACATGTCTGTGAAGACTGCTGAATCTGAGCTTGTGGCCTGGTCTCTGTCCAGGGCTGCATGTCCTAGTACCATAGCCTCTAGGCATATGTGGCTACTGAAAGGTAGGTTGGAGAATGTTCGGTTCTTCAGCTATAGTAGCCGCATTTCAGTATTCAGTAGCTAGATATGGCTAGTAGCTATTGCAGTGGGCAACATAATTCTATAGAATATTTTCTTCATCACAGAAAGTTCTGTTGGATAGTACTTACTAGAACCTACAGACTATACAGCTGTCCATGTTTTTGACATATTTATCTCGAATTCAGCAATTCCAAAGCATGTTAATATCACTCACCCAAATTTGCTTTTCCTTGTACAAGTTATGTGCCCCCATCTATGCCAACACCCAAGTCAGAAGTCTCAGAGCCACTCTCAACTGTTTCCTTTCCATCTTCCACATTCCCATTAGTTGTCAGGTCAGTCTTCGTTAGCTGTCACATTAGTATCTCTCTTCTCTCCCTTCCCCTTTAGCCCTTGTGTCTAACCTAGACTGTGGGCAGCATCCCAACTGGGTGCCTTGCTCCTGGTTGTCAGGAGTGATTCTACATGATTTTTGGGGAAAAGCATTTCATAATTAAATTATGATTAGGGCTGAGTTTTCCTGTCTATAGGCCACCTACAGCACGTCAAGACATAACTCTATTTTCACCTCTGGTCACAGCTAGACCTCAGTGGTCTGCTTGATGTGATTATGCTCCAGGTCAGGACTACACCAGCTGGAGACATCCTGGGAGGAACCAATCTTCATCCACATAGTTCATTATTGTTCTAGGATTATCTTCTCTGTACTCTTGAGTCATTTGCTACTTTTGTTTCTGCTGATGTTCTGAATAAAGGTGTGGCAAGCTCAGGGTCTGGGGTCTTTGCCGTCTTGAATAGAGCAGCATTGATCAGGCCAAAGCTCAGCTTCTTTTCTAAGTCTCATTTCTGTCTATATATTAATTAATTCACCCTGTGCTGTCATGACTCGCAGGAGACTAGGACCTGATGCAGAGGTGCTAATAATGTCCCCTTTCCCTGTTTCCTGTTCCTGGTCTCCCAGAGCTTGTCCACTATCCATGCTGTATCCACAGTGACCTTTCTCAAATAAGTGTGATTGTCCTGCTCCTGTCCTCTAACAAGCTAGTGGCTCCCCTGTGACAGGATCCATCCAAACCCATCCACAGGCCTTGAAGGCCTGCCATGAACTGGCTGCTCCCCGCCTTTCTTCTTGCTTTCCTTCTAGGCTGCATTCCCCGCCAACACAGCTCCATACCTCCAAAGTTTCGCTTTGACCGTGCCCCTACACAGACTCATGCTCCTTCTTGCCAGATGTATTTTCTTAAACTGCAGGTTAAACTCACTCCTCTGTAGCCAGACTGGCCCTGTAATGGTGAGAGAACTGACCTCCCCCTTTCTTCCTCCTTTCTGATCTCAGCTGTTAGCTAACAGGTACCAGCCTCATTATTTTTGTTTTGTTTTGTTTTTGGTACCAGGAATCGAACTCAACTCGGGTCCTTGCTCTTGAGAGGCAGGCAGCAGAACCACTGAATTAAATCCCTGGTCCTACCAGCCTCATTATTTATAGGCTCTTTTCCCCCTAGAAAGCATTGCAAAAGACTGGGGTACAGTCTTCGGATTTCTGATGTCTGGTGCTCAGTAGATGGATGAGAAAGGAAGATAAGGAAGAAGCTTGACTGAGAAACCATGGCAGTAACAGGTTAAGCTAAAGTGATATGGTGAAGGCAAACCAGGAAAGAGAGTCTACAGACTTGCATAACTGAAAAGAAGTGGGCAGATTTGAAGTTGGTGCTGAGATTTGACTCAGAGGACTTAGGAGAATGATTTACCCAATAACAGATAATGGAAGGGCAGAAGAAATTGATTTTAAAGAATAAAAATTATGTTTGATATTAGATAAACTAAATATAAGGTACCCATGGAATACCCAGGTGATTGGAAATGGAATTGAAACTTGGATCCTAGGTTAAAAATGAGCCTAAATACTTAACCCAAAATCATTTTTTCCTTTTTCTTGCCAGAATGTGAATCTTTGCATAGTGCCATGTGTGAGGTGAGAAAGGAAAGTACCGGACACCCTGGGGCTGGAACACAGCTGATACCACTTGGAATAAGATTATCCTTGCATCTGTTTTATGCTTAGAGTTAATATTTAAAACCATAGAAATGTGATTGACAGTTGAGAAAATATAGAGAAAAATAAAAATATTTGAGCCAAACCATGGAAAGCCCAATTATTGTCACCACCTGGTGAGAGAAACACTATCCAAGTCAGGGATGGGAAAGACTTCCCTTAATAGAAGGACTGACCAACAGTCCAGACAACAGTGCCCTAAGAAGAGCAGAAGCTATTCCAGTCCCAACTAACAGTGACATCAGAGCTCTCTCAGGAACATGAAAAACACCCCCAGCACCTGGGCTTGGGGTGGCCCAAGACGTATAATGGGGTTCTTGGTGTTGGAGCAAGCATCTTAAACTCCACATCTACTCTGGGCAAGGCACTGGTAGAAACTATTAAGCAAGAGCTCTTCCCAGGATTCCAAAATACATCACATGAAGTCATATTAAGAAGCTGAAGTAACTGCTAGAGGCCCAAATCAAAGAACATTCAGGCAGGGCATCCCACAAGTAATGTCACGTAGCCAGACTAAAGTTTGGTGTCCAAGTGAAGACCCTATTCCTAGAGTTGCAAGCAGAGGTCCCAGGACTGTTCAGACCAGGCTTCTTGCTAGCTCAGCCTCCAGATGTCAGATGGTCTTGGTATGAGCTAGAATAGGCAAGACCTCTCTGAATGGGGCTTGGGCAGCAGGGCAGGGCAGCAGCCAAGGTAAGGAGCCTGAAAAATACAGCCTCTCTTGGCACAGGGTTGAAGAAAGGGCCTTATGAAGAGATGTTCAGGCTGTCGCATCTGTGAGACATGTCCAAGCTGAGGAAAGACTACTGGTCTTGGGATTTAGGAGATGAACAGAGATTTTTGGTGGGAAATTATTGAGAAGAAGGGTAGATGCCCCAAGTGTAAGCTGGTCATTCCATGGTCACAAGTGGAACGCAGATAGAGGACTATGGAGGGTGGCTTGGGGTACATATATTTTTAGGGTGTGGAAAGGTACATGTAGAAAGGTGCAACTGGCATTGGAAGGAAGAGGGGCTAGCAAGAAGAACGTGAAGCTACCAGGAGGATGTGGAATTCATAGTACAAGTAGTGGCATTTGCAATCCTTTACATCTAAGCAGAGGAAGAAAAGGGAAATTCTTCAGCAAATAATACTATAAAAGGGTGAAGTTTAAGAAGCTCAAGTCAGGTGACCTCAGTCTTCTCTATAAAATGGTTCTTGTTTTTATTTTAAAAATTGGTCAAGATACACACAAAAGGTAGTGAGGCTTTACATTTATTAAAGTTAAGAAGCCGGGCGTGTTGGCGCATGCCTGTAATCCCAGCACTTGGGAGGCTGAGGCAGGAGGATCGCTGTGAGTTCAAGACCAGCCTGGGCTACATAGTGAGTTCCAGGTCAGTCTCAACTACATAGTGAGACCCTGTCTCAAAAAACCAAAAAAGAAAGAAAAGAAAGAAAGAAAGAAAGAAAGAAAAAGGTAAGAAAAGAAGTATGCTCTGGGGCTGGGGATTTAGCTCAGTGGTTCCGCCACCTGCCTCGCAAGCGCAAGGTCCCAAGTTCAATCCCTGGTACACACACACACACACACACACACACACACATACACACAAAAGAAGTATGCTCTGCAGATGAGAATGGGCCATTCCATGAACTGGTTTTTAAAATTGGAAGGAAGGCAGGATTATGTGATTTTTTAAAATTCAAATATACTGGGCTGGGGATTTAGTGGTTCTGCCACCTGCCTCGCAAGTGCAAGGTCCTGAGTTTGATCCCCAGTACAAAAAAAAAAAAAAATTCAAACATACCTATAGAAATGTCATTTTATATTTGAACAAATATTAAATTTAAAGAAAAAATATTGTACTTAATGTAGAATTACTAAGAATATCAGATGGAAATGGAGAGTTAGATACTTAACTGTCAAAATGACAGAGTCCCCTCACATAGTTCCTGTTTATTACACCCTCTTTTGCATAACTGGAAAAAAGAGGCTCCCTGAATCACTCATTTAAGTCACGGTATGGTGTATTATGCAAAAGCCTATGTGAGGTAAAACAACTTCTGATTCTTCATTCAATCATCTGTTTATAAAACATGCATTCCATGTATAAAGTGCAGAATCTGTTCCGGATTAATCAAATCATTGTGCCATCCATTCATATCCATGCCTACCCTTCCTCTTGGAGTTTTTAAAAAATTATACAATAAAACCAGTTAATCTTCAAAAAGTGGCTGGTGATGCCATCAGCTAAGGAGGAAGATGAAGATGGAGAAAAGGTGGCAATTTGAACTGTCCATAGGAGATCCAAAGAATAGGATCAAAATGTGTCAGCCAAGACTACGGCGCACATAACCAGTTATCCTTGTTTATGTTTTTTTCCAGCCAGTGCTGGGTGGTCTAGGAAGGGCATGAGTGGTCCTGGGGGTCACCTGGGCCTGGCATTGTGCAACAGAGTGACCTCCATGCCATCACAGAAATGCTCAGGAGGGGATCAGATGCCTGGGGGGCGGCAATGAGAGAAAAGAGAAGCAGATCCAAATACACAGTGCTCCCTACTGCAGACCGTCAGAGAAAGAGGCAGAAGGATGGAGTGAGATCAGATCAAAGAAGTTAATGATGGAAATTAAGCTTTTCTTTTAAGATGAAAACTTTTAAGCACATAGGATCAGTGAAACCTATGTACTCATCTGTAAGATTACACAAAAGCTGAGCACTTGTCAGTGATGTAAGATGTGACAGGGTAGAACAGAAGAGGGAGTAAGGAGCTGGAGGTTTAGACAGGGGCCATTATATGAACACTCTCACCAGTGGCCAGCAACAGGGACACAAGCTGTATCAGCTAAATGCCATGTGGTAATAGTGCACTATTTTCTTTTGCTTTCTGCTTAGTGACAAAGGGAGAAGCGGGCTTATAGGGTAACAACAAGAACCCATAAGTCTTTCAAACTCTAGGGAACTTAGTAACAATGGCAAAGGTTGTGGGCCAAGTGGCCTACAGCAGAGGGCAGTAGGGAAAAGGATGAAATAATCATCTGAATATTTGGAGAGGATTATGAAAGACCTGGATTCACACAGGGGAAGCCAGTCTGCTGTGTGTGTGTTGCCAGTTTTCACCTGCTTTGGGAGAAGCACAGTATTCTCCAATGGAAAGGACAAGCAGGGGCTGATAATGAGGATTGTGGAGATTTAGGGGCCATAGGGTGTTACTGCATGTGTCCATCCAGACACTTCAAAGTCCTGATGGTAAAAATGAAAGAAGCAGTGGGTTTTCAGGCCCTGAAAATGACGATAACAGACACTTTTTGAAGTAATTTATATGTTAATTCACATACTATGTATCCTTTGTGTTTTAACTTCTCTGGGTCAATTACTACTGGCTTTTTAAAAAGGGGTAAAAAATGAAGTACTCTGGTTAACATTTTGGATAAATCTTGTTATTAACACATTCATTTTTTAAAATCCTGCATTGGAAATAGTACCTAGTGTTTCATTATAAAATCTAAAAGAGTGGGAGTTTCTGATTAGGCCCCCAAATGTTCTTCTGTAGAATACTTATTTAAATTTTAGTTTCTCCACAATGCCTCCAGGCATTTCAACCTCTGCTGGCATAGAGTATGTTATTGTGCACTGTTAAGTCTTGGGCTAATGCCTTTTCATATTTCTTCACCTTTTAAAATATTTCTTTGGTAAGACATAGGCTATTTGCATGATGCCTGAAGCTGACCATTAGGATGGAAAGACTGTCTGTCTTGATCTTTTTATAACAACAAAACAGCACCTCAGTAAGTCAGTGCAATATGCTTCCAAATGAAGGTAATTTCTGAAAAACATACAGATTTGTAGATGCACTTAAATGAACTTTGGGGTTGGAGAGAGGTTTAATTTTAAATTGTAAAACTAACATTTGAGAATATTCCAGGCCAGGCCACGCATGATCTCAATTCTCATAATAATGTCATGGAGCAGTAGTATAACAGTAAGTATATTCCCATTTTAAAATGGGTATCAGAAATGTTGGGTAAATTTCAAGTGGCACAGTCAGAATGCAATGTGGATCTTGCCCATGATTACCTCAGGGAAGTGGCACTCTTGTAAGTAGAAAGAACATTAGAAATCTAAAAATGAGCTTTTAGACTTTATAGAATTTTCCTCACTGCTTAGAGCTCTTTATGGTTATATGATTCATCTGTGGATAAAAATATTTAAATGTCACTTAATTTTATACAGCAAAGACTAAAAGCTAGAATATACTTTTAAAGATTGCTAAAATGAATGAAAAATAGGTGTTTTGAGATTCTGTTGAATATTTTCTTCCATTGGCTACTTCAAAAGTCACATACCGGCCAGGTGTGGTGGCGCACTCCTGTAATCCCAGCACTCGGGAGGCTGAGGCAGGAGGATCGTGGTGAGTTCGAGACCAGCCTGGGCTATATCGTGAGTTCCAGGTCAGTCTCAACTACATAATGACACCCTGTCTCAAAAAACCAAAAAAAAAAAAAAGTCACATACCAATTAGAACCCAAAGTAAACTTGTGCAACATGTGGTCACTGCTCTTTAATTGTTGACTGGCACATTTGTGGCCACTGAAACATCTCCCAGTTTTTCTAGCTTTCGTCGGGTTTAATTTTTTGTGCTTAGTTTAAAAGACAGAATTGTTATTAAATAAGAATGATGGAGACTTGCTTCCTGTGTCATCACCATTATTTATAGAATGATGAAGTCATGACAGTGGGCATCACAGGTCAATATGCTGTTACTCTTTATCCTACAAACTTTAAAGTCAAGCCTGGTTAACATTTTTTGGTAAATATACAGACTGGGATGGATTTCTAGAAAGGTTGGGTCATTTTATTAGATGATTACAAATTCCAGTGCCTGTATTTGTTAACTTGCTGACCGTTACCCACTACTGTCAGTACATGGTTCTTTGGAAGTTTGCCTTTTGAGTGTGTCTTCTGATGCCTATTATGTTCTCAAAAGGCGGGAGAAAGAGGAATTGAAAAGAACGGCAGAGGAGGAAAGGCAGCACCTAGAAGCAGCAGCCCGTAAGCAAGAAGAGGAACAGAAGTGCCACGAAGAGGAAGCAAAAAGAAAGGCAGGAGAGGAGGCCAAGCAAAAGGCTGAGGAGGAGCTGTTGTTGAAAGAAAAGCAAGAAAAAGCCATGATTGAAAAGCAGGTACAATCTGAGTCTTCAGATAGACTTTCTTACTTTGTTTTTCAAGAGCCTTAGTAAATATTAGGTGAAACTCATTTAATTTGAGTAAGTCATAAGTTTTTTCTTAAACTGTCTGTCTGGACTAGTCATTAAATATAAGTTACTTGGGACAAGTCTGCTGTCTTGAGTTTGGGTTTCCCCAAAGGTCGACTCTGAGATAAGAATCTGGGTGCCAATAGTTTGAGAAGGGAATCCCATCAAGCTGATTGGGAAGCAGGAGAGAGTAAGGCAAATTAATGAGGGAGTTATTGTGGGCAACTGGAACTCAACACTATTGGGATCCCTTCGGAGACCGGGGATCATGCATGCTTTAAATTTGTTCCTCTGAAGAATGAGGAGTCTGAACAATTTATCTGCCAACACCACCCTGTTTGTGGAAGGTTGGGGAATTAACGCCTGGAAACTTTTGGCCCACAGACAGAGACTTTGGGCATGTAAGAGAACTGTCTACAGAAGCTTTGCATGGAGGGCTGAGATATATGGATAAAGCCTAACCACATCTGCTGTGTCATAAAGTGAGTTGTATAAATCCACATTGAGTATAGGAGGGGCATCCACTCTGTTGTAGATGATGGGAAGAAGGAACTTGTGCAAAGCCTAGAGAATTACTGGTATTTTCTTGGCTTCATAAAGCCTGTACCTTGGTTTATCTGTTTCTTGCAGAAAGAAGCAGCAGAAGCAAAGGCCCAGGAGGCAGCTAAACAGATGCGTCTAGAAAGAGAACAAATCATGCTGCAGATTGAGCAGGAGCGACTGGAGAGGAAGAAGGTAAGGGCTGAAGGATCAGGAGGATTTAAGGGTAAGGCAGGTGCAGGAAGTAAATCCAGCTGTGTACTTCAGTGATTGGATAGAGTGCTCTTAGAACTGTCAGTTAGGTCAGTTTCACTGATAGTGCTGATAAAATCTGTATCTTCTTGTTTTTTATCATCTTATTCTGTCGGTTACCGAGGAAAGAGTGGTATAGAGCTCTATCTGTGATTATGGATTTGTTCATTTTTCTTTTTCAGGTCTGTAAGTTTTTGTTTTATATATTTGAAGCCCCGCTTTTAGTTGAATGCATATTCTGGATTGTTAAATTTCCTGCTGAATTGACCCCTCTATTATAAAATGTCCTTAACTAATAATATTTCTTAACAATCTGCTTTGACAGCCTTTTTATGACTACTGTCTGTATGGTAAATCTTTTTCTGTCTTTTTACTTTGAACCTAGGTATGTGCCCTAGGTCTGCTATAAACGGCATAAAATTGGGACTTACTATTAAAATCCTGTTTGATTGTCTTTGTCTTGTAATTGGTGTGTTTACCCCCTTTACACTTAGTGTGCTTTTATGGACAAAATTGGGTTTAAGGAGACTGATTATAAGGGTCTATTCTTGTGATGTCCTAGGCCAGTGATGGCAAACCTTTTAGAGCTTTCATTGATAAAGACAGCCCGCTGCAGCATGTGTGCCCTGAGTTTACTACTGCGCTCAGATTGGGCTTTGTTTTCCTGTAGGCCTGGGAGCCAGGAGACCAGCCTGTGGTCTTCTCTCCTGAGCCTCATCTCAGAGTATCAAGGATGATACCCTTGAGTGCTAGGTGGTGATTTGTTGACTTATAGGAAACCTAAGAAGAAGGAAAAAGGTGGGATATAAATTAAATATTGATTCTAGATATGCACTGGTGCATTTCGTTGACATTGTTCATAGGCCAGAGGTATACATCTGCAAAAACAATGGAAAACTTTTCTATGTTCAGTATCCTCTGCTGACATTTGACTTGCACAAGTTTTCTGAGAAATGTGAAATTGTGGGCCAGGGGATTTAGCTCAGCAGTTCTGTGGCCTGCCTTGCAAGCACAAGGACCTGAGTTCAATCCCCGGTACCGAAGGAAAAAAAAAAAAAAAAGAAATGTGAAATTGCATGTAGACCCAACTACTTTTTGATATTTTTGGCCCTACAGTCCTCTTACCTTTTGTTTTCTTCCAGAGAATAGATGAAATCATGAAGAGAACAAGGAAGAGTGATGTGTCTCCAGAAGTGAAGGTAAGGGCTTCAGATGACCATTATGTGCTGAGTGGAAAAGAACAGCAGGATACAGTGTGGTTTCAGGTGTTAGAGAGAATTAGCCAGGAAAAATGGACTCTTCCTGCTCCATTCTTGTCTAGGTTAAAGAAGATACAGGGTCCTGAAAGAAAAAAGGAGCTTCAGAGATGGAGCAAGTAAACGATTTCCTCAGAGCAGGTGGGCGTTCAGGAAGAGGCATAGTAGTCCATGACTACAAAGGAGAATGGTGACATATTAATAAGGGAAACAGCTAAAGATTCAAAGACTTACTGTGAACCAGGCAGATGGCCCAGCAGGGATCCAAATATCTTTTCTTGCTTTAAAGAAGCACTTGTTTTACTATGTAATGTCAGCCTTCCCTCTTTTTCATCCACCCTTTATTTTCAGAAAGAAGACCCCAAAGTGGAGATTCAGCCTGTTGTGTATGTGGAAAATAAGACAAAACCAGTTGTCCCCAACAAAATAGGTAAGTGTGCTTGGGCTATCCCTTTCAGCAGTGAGGGCTCATAAAGCTTCCTGAAGGGGTAAAACACACCCCCAAGAGTGTGACTGCCAGCATTTTCCTTCCTGGGGCATCTCTACCATAGATCCATTTAGAAAACCACAGGCTTCCTCAGTTACTTTGATGATCTTGGCTTGGAAGGCGTACTGTCTGCTGGCCCTTGATGCTTTCCAGGTTAACTGCTGGTCAGGTGTTACTAAGACCTGATTCTGCTCTTCTACTGAGGCCCTGCAGACAATTTTAATGTGATTTATCTTCTCTTCCCCTGTGTGAAGGTGATTACATGGGGTTATTGGTGATTCTTTTCATCAAAGATGTTGTATTATTGGTGAGGCATAGGATTAAATTACTTTATTATGTATTTCCCATTATTTCATTGTTACTGGATGTTTTATCATTCACATAAGGATTTTGTGTTCTTGATCAGAACTCAAAGGATTAAACACATGCCAGGAAATTAATGGCATGGGGTGTACTGCCCCTGAAGCTATTCCACGAGATGTTCTCTCTAATGGGCTTAAACCAGTTGGGGGGCTTGTTCATCTGAGTGCCCTTGATGGAAAATCAAACAGTCTGGATGATTCAACTGAAGAAGTTCAGTCTATGGATGTGAGGTATGTCTGTTTCTTTTGCATTTGAATTCTGTCTCTTCTCCAAACACTGTCACCATCTTTTAGTTAGTTTCTTCAGCTTTTATACAACTGAATCACCTGAAACAGACTTGGTTGACATTTTAGGAAAGCTGTCAGTGGAATAATACCAGAGTCTTGCTTGGTTAAGTCTCCCTAGAATCAGAACCTTGGATGGAGTTTCTGGGCATATGATTTATTAGGGAAGAACTCTCTGGAGTTTTTCAGGAGGAAGGGCACAGAGGGAAGGCACTAAGCAACAGTGTGTTCTCAGACAATCCACAGGAGCTCTGGAGGCCAAATTTCTACTAGAGAGTTGTCTGAATGAGGTAAGGTAGGTGGCTTTTGTACCACCCTCACACTCATTCACTGTGGACCCTGTGGGGTGGGGGATGCAGAACTAACTGTGGCTCTCATCAGCCAAAGGAATTTGTCTGGAGAGAAGGTGGCAACCATGAGTCTTCAGCAGCTCACTCTCTGCTGCTGGAAATTGGTACATCTGTAGGTAAAGAGGATCTGGCCAAGCCACCAACAGGGTCTCTTTTGTAGAGAGTCTCATATTTAAGTAAACTTGTCACTGCAAACTTAATAATGGAACTAATTTCCTTTTGGATTCTAAAAACCTAAAGAATTTTTAAATTGATTTCACATTTGTAGATACCATTATCTGGCAAATTAATCTCACACAAAAGAACTAATTGGCATGAGATTAAGGCAGAGGCGTTGAAATGGATGGCCTTGGAGTAGGGAGTGGTTCTCTGAGTCAGGAGAGTGTGACAGTGTTTTGTAAAAGCACTACTAGAGTGACAGCCTCCCAAAGCTTACCCTTCCTTCTTTGGCTATGAGTTATCAGTGTAGTCTGGGGGTAAGGGTGGAGACAGAGTTCTTGACACTGATTGTCAATATTCCATTCATCCTTACTGGACTACAGCCAGATGTGTGAAAGTCTAGGGTGTGACAGCTCCATCAGCAGTAGAGCAAGTTCTGTGGAGACTGATAACAGGACTCCCCAGCACCTTCCTTAGTCTTCCCTCTCCAACACCGCCACCGTGACAGGCTTTCCCTAAATGGCTCCATTCTGTCCCCAGCAGAGAAACAACTGAAGACATCTTTTCTTTTCTGGTACTGGGGATTAAATCCAGGGTCTCATGCATTCTAGATAAGTGCTCTACCACTGAGCTACATCCCCAGCCCTTTTTATTTTGAGATGGCTTCTCACTAAGTTTCCCAGGCTGGCCTAGAACTTGTAATCTTCCTACCTCGGTCTCTCAAGTAATTGAGACAATCTTTAGAGTTAATACTACATATTTCCACCCCCATATTAAGCAAGCTATGCGTATTCTTTTATGTTTTTTGGGTGGAGGGAGAGGAGTGACAAGACATGGTATCACTGGCCAGGGTTCAAGGAAGGGCTTTGCACAGAGTTCTTCCTTAGAGAGAGTGTGACTCCTGGCAATTGTTCCCAAGCATAGTGTGACATTTTCTTTTCCCCATGCTCTGACCATTTGTTTGAACACATGATAGGGCCACAGTTCATGTCTCACTGCCAAGTAGCTCGAACCACCAGTGGTACCTGTGTGACTATCTCATCAGACAGCTTTTAATTATTTTTATTAGTACAAAGACTGATAAAAGTGGTTAGATCCATGTGTTTCACCAGTGGTACAAGCCACCTGATGGGACAGTTGTGCATATCCCACCAGTGGTTCAAGCCACCAGGAGCATGGTAAACCTAGGGATGGAGTTAGGGAAAAATAAAGATGGACAGTGTTTCTGCTTAAGCATTTTGCCAAGGCTTCAAACACCAGAAATGCCGTCAGGTTAGCCACTTTCCTTTTACTGGGTTCAGGTGTGAGGGAGGTGGATCATCTGAGCTACTTCAGTTCAACTGGTTTTTCTAGATTCTTCTCCAAGATCTTAAGAAAGAGAAACCAGCCTTACTCTGGTTAAGAGACTCCTGGGAACAGGCCCTCATCTCCCAGCCCACTACTCTCCTGGGCCTGGATTGGCTTGGCATACAGCAAACAGCAGTGGAACTCCTTTCACCTCTAGGGGGAGGATGGAGGAACAATAAGGCTTGGCTAGGCAGAGCTGAATAAGTTAGGGTGGATTGGAAGCCTAGGTTTAGAAAGGAGACAGTGGGTGAGATTAGATAATTAAGTGGACTGGGTCCTTGTTAATGATCCCCACCCGAATTCCCAACCTTAACTGAGCACTCAGGTGATTTGGTATGCGCTCTTCCCAGCACAGTCACACTCACACTCATGGGAGCTGTGGGAGGGAGAAATTGACTGTTCTTCCCATTTTGCAGGGGAGGAGACTGAGGCTAGGGGCAGGAAAAGCAGCTCAGCCAGGATAGTACTGCAGGAAAGGCAGCACCAGAAGCCCGGTGTTAATTATGGCCCTTCCTCATCTGGTTTTGAACTTCTGGCTTTTCTGTTTGAATGTCCTGTTTTGAGAGTTCTGGAAGGACCTTACCTCTCAGTAGTAAAGTGGTCATTCCTGTAGTATTTTTTCCTTTTTTCAATGTGAGCTTGGCCTTCACAGACCTGTCTAGTCTTCCGTAGGGGCCGATGTCTGCCATTCCTTAGATTTGAACTTCCATGCATATTTTATAGTATGTTACACACAAACTCTCTCTAAATCCATCTTCTCTAGAAGAGTAATGTAACAACATATTACAGATAGAATGAAGCACATTAACATATTGTGTATCATTCTCATATTCTCTCTCATCTCTCCCTCTACTACTGTCTCTTCCTCTCTGTCTCCATCTCTTCTAGTCCTGTTTCCAAAGAAGAGCTGATCTCCATCCCGGAATTTTCACCAGTGAGTGAAATGATTCCCGGAGTGTCTCTGGACCAAAATGGAACTGGTAATGCCCGAGCGCTTCAAGATCTCTTAGACTTCACTGGTCCTCCGACATTCCCCAAGCAATCCAGTGAAAATCTCAGCCTGGATGACTGTAACAAAAACCTTATCGAAGGATTTAACAGTCCGGGCCAAGAAACTACTCTGAACACCTTCTGCTGACAAATGCAACAACCTTTTAATGAAAGGTATAGTCTTCTGCTGATGCTCTAAATCTGTAACTTCCCAGCTAGGGTATGTGAACATTGGATGACTGTCACTCAGCTTCAACATGGCCAATTTTATCTGAAAGAATGCAAATACAAATATGTTATGCATTTCAGCACACACATGAACTGAGGTGGATTTTTTTAAGTATTTTTCTCATGCTCAGTCTTCAATTCTCTGCCCTGCCCACCTTGCCTCTGTGTTTGGGAGTATGAGTGGGAAGGCTGAGAACACTGGCTAAAGGTTGGGCCTCCAGCTCATCTCAAGTAGCACCTTTGTCAAGGACATGGATAGTTCTCACTGCTTCAAAGCAGTGTTAATAAAAGTACTCCTTCTGTGTGTTTCTGTCTGCTGCCTGTCTGCCTGTCTCTGTCTCCCCCGCTCTGTCTCTCTATCTCTCTGTCTGTCTCTGCCCCCCACTCCGTCTGCCTCACACATGGTCTGACACTAGGCTACATCCCCAGCCCCTCTCATTTAAGAATCTGGGTTATATATACTGTGTAGTTATGTGCACTTAGATATACACATTTCACATTTGATTTACTTCAATTTGGGACTTGTTTTCTAATAATAAAGACATTAATTAGGATCTATCACAGAATCTCTTCATAACTTATTTTCTATAGTTCCTGTCATTTTAGACTCTTAAAAACATTTTTATATTCTCAGTATTCTGTCACTGGATTTTTATGATGACCCACTTCTTTTATTAGAAATTAGGTACCTAAAATGATTTAGTCCAGCCTTTTTTGCCAGCATCAGATTTAAGTCAAGTTAATTACCATAAGCATAGATTAACAGCTAGGCTAATAGACCAAAAATATATATAAAACACATAAAACAATTATACTAAATGAAGGTAAACTTTTAGATACATTATTCCAACCCTTTTATTTCTCGAATGAGGTAACAGGTTATGGAGGCCACACAGCTAAAGTCACTGAGTCTCTTGTCTTTAGTTGATGAGTTTTTAGAGTTCCCTTCTCCCAGTTCTCAGGAAAACAGCTGACACATGAAAGGAAACGCATGACAAGTTACTTCTAAACTATATCCTCGCTTTAGAAGAGCAGCTACTTTCTGGTGTACTTAACCTATTTATATGGAAGGTTGCAATTTTTTTAAATTGAGTTTATTGGTACATTTTAGGAATACAGTACAGTTACATTCATCATTGGGATCTTGTACCTCTACATGACAGGTCTTGGTTCTCATTTTTTCCCCTTGTCCCTGCCCTCCCTTCACCCCTCCTCCCTTCCCCATTTACAAACACTTTATTTCCATCTTTTCATTTTCTCACATTTTTTTCTTTTCCCTTATTACCCTTCCCCTACCCATCCCACCTTCCATACACCTTTAGCCCTTTTCTTCCCATTTCACAACATCAGTTATCTCATTAGGATCTTATGTACTATTACAGTTTATTCACACCAGAGAAACTATTCGGTAGTTATACATGTGTGACTTATTTATTTCACTTAGGAATATATCCTCAATATGTATCCATTTTCCTATGAATGAATCTAATTTCTCATTCTTTATGGCTGAGTAATATTCCATTTTATAGAAAAACCACATCTTTTAAAATTTGTGCATGAAATTTATATATGTTACCTAGAAAAATTCAAGGATCAAGAATCTGAAGAGACAATTTCTGTTGTGTTTCATTGTTATTGGTGTTCCAAAAATGGCACATTATGCATAAATAGGTTAAAACACTAATTCACCTGAGCAGTCTGTTTCCCTAAAAATTGCATGGCTTCGTATTAACTAATAGGTTCCTTTTGTTGTTAGCTTAACTTTACTTAATTAGCTTCCCTTCAGTTCACTTACCTTACTATCCAGTAAGGGCCAGAAAATCTGCAAATCTTAGAATATTCATGAGTCCTCAGATGTATTCCCTGCATCACTAAAAAAATGTAAAATCCAAATCCAAAAAAATGTTTGCCTCAATCACTTTATTCATACTGCCTGTACATTTTTATATGTTATATAGTCTAGTTCCCAAATCCTTTTCAGCCAAAGGTGGTACCATCTCCACTATGTAGTATTTGAAAATATATTGATGGGTTTTGTTGTCACAGTGGCTGGAAACATTCAGAAGGCAACTCTTGAGACATTAAATATTTGTAGGTTTGAATGCAAGAGAGATTTGGCAGGCAGGCATCCCCTTACTGCCTCATGTGTGTCTCTCCCAAAGCTGTGCTTTTGGTTAAGAAGACAGCCTTCCCCAGGAGAGGAGGACTATTCTTTGGTCAAAAGTAAAACAGAATATCTGAAGGCTTTAGGAAAGTCTAACTCATCTAAAAGAAAGGTCCTGTGCAAAATACTGCAGTACTTCTATTGAGAGACAGTGTATGAGCCAAGGAAAATCTAATTACCCAGTGCAAAACCCCAGTTTTCTGCATTGCTCTCATGTGCTTTTGTGTTTGAATTAATACAGGTGGTGTTCGGAGCACCCAAGGAGCTACTGGTAGCCAAATCCCAGCTGCCGGCTCTCTGAAGAAACTTCTGTCACCCTTAACCACTGGATATTAGACTGGAATGTAACTGTATTCCTAGGTAGTATGTCAAACACTGGCCTCTCGGTAGAAACCTTGAAACTTTCACCTTACTGGGCTTTAGCGAAGTTTCATTTTACGGTTCTATTTAGGAGCTTCTGCTGCTACTAAAGTATTGCCTGTCCTTGTCTATTATCACAGTGACCCTCTAAGTAACCTGAGTGACGCTGCCTTGGAAGTTCGCTTTGTGGCCGGTCTCTTTATCCTAGAGTCGGAGATCATAAGCACTTAGATGTGTCCTATAGATAGTCTAGGCATTTGCTCAGCTCTAGTTAAACATGTCCTCAGCCTGGACTGCATAGCTCCTTTCCTTTATTTAGAAGGAGAAGAAATTCAGGAGCTTCTTTCTCTCTGGGATTTCTCTCTTTAAAATATTATCAGGAAGTCTTTTTATTCAAGCTTTGCCACCTGCAAATACATTGACCCGCATTATTCCTTTGGGGTTGATCAGTTTGATTGAGTAATCAATGTGTAGTGATTTCCATTCCCTTATGCATATTCTTATATCCATGGACAACTGAATCATGCAAAGACCTTTCTTATTGCTCCTTCAAATATCCTACTGTAGTCCCTCCAAATGAAGGGGTCTTCCTGCTGAATGAATGACACTGAATGTGTCTCATATGCAGGTGGTTGGTTTTGGGTCTGCTCTTATTTTTGTATTGGATCTTGGGGTTTTTCTTTGCCCAATTATAATAAAACCAGGCACAGATAGAAAGCATAGTGCTCTGAAACAAGGGGGCCCAAAATTGGTCCCCATATGTCACTTTAATAGACTGTAACATTAAAACAGAAGATCTGAATGGGGAAAAATGACACTAGAATGTTTCCTCCACACATTTTTATGCCATATAATGCCATGTTTTCTCATTTCTTCTGTTGTGGTGAAATGTGACTTTCAGATAAATGGCCTCTTCCTTGAACTTTTGTTTAAACTTGTAATAAAGGATTTAGAGAGAAGCATAATTCTGAGAGATTTGCAAGTCTCAGTAGTAATCTCATTCATGTGCTTTTAAAGCAGGCTACAGTTTAAGAATTTATTACTTATGAAAACTGTGTATGTTTGTGTATGTATATATATTAAATAAAATACATGCCTCTAATAATGCAGTAGCATTGATTTTGATGAATATCAGGGATAATCCCTTTTGTGATAAGCACACAAAATGGTAGCATGGCCTGACTTTAAAGATGCCTGGCTGTTTTTATGGCTTTATTTTGCTCGATGTCTGGGGTTTGTGCGTGTGTGTGTGTGTGTGAGATGTGTTGTAGCTCACAGCACCATTGTGACCATGGTGATGTCTCATTTGCATCATGTGTACATTGGGGTTTTTTGTTGTTGTTGTTGTTTTGTTTTGTTTTTGTTTGTACCAGGGATCAAACTCGGGACCTTGCACTTGTGAGGCAGACGGTGGAACCACTGAGCTAAGTCCCCGGTCCCAAGTACTTTCTGTTTAATGTGAAATGTATTTTCATTCAACAGTGATGACTTGCTAGTATTTTTGTTTCTTTCTTTGTAAGCTCAGTGAAGAATTGTGCTGGAACTAAACCATGTTTTTAAAACCCATGGGACCATGTGTTTTGGGGCAGAGGAGAAAGCCGGGGGGAGAGAGCGCCAAATCCTGCACAGATGTTCTTGTTAAACTTACTAAAAATTCCTCCCATCAGTGCAAGGTGTAGCCAACTATGGAAATAAGCTTGAGTGATGGCCTGTCCCAGAAAACTATGAGCTTCTGAGTACAGCTAAGTTGCTGTACTTTCATACAAACACACTGTCTAGCTAGCTAAGACACATAATTTAACCTTATGTAATTTAAGAGAATCTTTTTTTTTTTTTTGAGACAGGGTCTCACTATGTAATTGACACTGACCTGAAACTAGCCATGTAGTCCAGGCTGGTCTCAAACTCACAGCGATCCTCCTGCCTCAGCCTCCCAAGTGCTGGGATTACAGGCATGTGCCACCACGCTTGTCTAAGAGAGTATTTCTCATGGCAGTTGGCATTTAAACAAAATTATATTAGAAACGTTGACCCTTATTTTCAAGGAACCTGAAACACAGACCAACTTTTTTGTATCTAAATCACAGGCTTGTCTGCTTCCTGGAAAAGGTACTAGCCCAGACCAAGAGCCAGGTGGACACAACTAGAATTACACACCCTCGTGGTAACTTCTGGCCTGCCATCTCTGAAGCTGAGGGCCCAGTCTGTTGGCAGAGTTAGGGCACAGAGAGGACACTTAACTGATTCCATACACAGGGCTTTGACAGGGCATTAGGAGTGGCTTATGTCATTATGAGTGCTGCCTATAGGGCCCAAGGACAATTGCTAGTTTGTGAACATTCTAAACATTTTCATAGTATATACAGGTTTTTCACCAGCTAAACTGCTTTTATAAACTAAATTTGGAAAGCAAACATAAAACATACAGAAATAGTTGTGGGGAAACACAAAAAAGCACAAAATGGTGGTACTGTTGTTCAGGCTGTAAAGGGAAGGGGTCTGGGAGGCATTAGATTTTGTGTCAGCAGAACCCGAGCACAGGAGCATCTCCGATACACAACTGTAAATAACTTCTACAGCCGAAGTTGATGCTGGCTGGTGTAAATAACTTACATAAACAAGGTTGTTACTGGCACATGACCACTACTGTGCATTTTGGTATCAGTGTAGACGGCCGAGAGGGCTGGCGGGAGACTAAGCAGCCAAGGACTGCTTTGAGAATGGGTGGGCTAGGGGCCTGAGGACTGCCATACAGGGCTGAGCTGAGTAGCTGAGAATAAAGTTGTCTAACCTGGTCCACAGTTCTGTGTCTCTTCTTCGGGCTGCCCAAATCTGCAGTGAACTTTCCCAGCCCGAATGGTGACAAGACAATAATTTGTTTCTAGAGGTATACCTATTACATGGGCACAGTATGGGGTGACCTACATTCCCCCTTCTCAGTGTTGTTCAGGAAGCACAATTATGAAGAAAAATGAAGTGAGAAGTCTTAGAAATCAGAAGTCTTTACAGACACTTTCTTTTTTCTCCAGGAACCTGAGAGAAACAACTGAAAAACTCAGGATAATTTTATAAGAGGAAGCTATTAAAGTCAATAGTTCTTTTATATATTTGCAACAAACAGGAAAGATAAAACTCAAAAACAATGAAACAAATTACATCTAAAACTTGAATGAAGTCTGTTAGAATAGATGGAAATGCAAAGATCTATGCATGTGAAGAAGGTTAACAGTAGCAGCACTCACTTTGTCCTAATCAGATTTCTTTTTGATAGCTTGAAAGTAGAATTGTACAGTTCATATAAGCAAACACAAAGCTAAGAAGCAAAAGATTTTGAAAAGGGAGAATTTTTCTAGCAAATAGTGAAATATTTAAAACTTAAGTGGTATAATCTAATACAGACATGGACTTTGCACTAGATACTAGAAATACTCAAGATAACATAAGAATTTTAAATCTGATGAGACTGGATGTTGACTGTGTGTACATGCAGAAAGATAGCAGGTGGCTTGGTGTCTCCTGGGTCAGTTGAGTTTAGCATCTCTGATGGAGTGTGGATAAGGTCCCAGAAGTCACAGTAAGAAAATTAAAGACAGCCACAGACTCCAAGGTCTGGCTGTCAAGATTTAAATCAGGGACAAAATTTAGATGCAAGGGCTGGGGGTGGCTTCTAAGGATTCCAAACTGCCTAGTACCCAAGAACGAGCTCTGTCCCCAGGAGGAGAACATCCTGGGAAGCAGTGGGCCTCTGCTCACCAAGCTTCAGCTTCAGTGGGATTGCACCATAACAGGCCTTGTGTCCGGAGTTCCCACTGCGCTCCGGATGGTTCTGAGTCTTCTCCATGCCATGAGGTAGGTACGAGAGGGTAACTTCCTGAAGGACACTCAGCTAGAATTTGGCACAGCTGACTCCAGAGTTCCAGCGTTGGTCCCTATAGGGGAAATTGAAAGGCTCTTCTGCCCCTAAGAACAGCAAAAATGTGCTACTTTTTATATCAGCACAAGATCAGGGTCTCCATGGGGAGTGTGCTTTAAATGATTGAGCATTCATGTACCATAAAACTCACCCTTTCAAGATACAATTAAATGGTCTTTAGTTCATTGACAAATTGTGCAACTATCATCACTAATTCCAGAACATTTTCATCTGAGTGTACTTTATCGAGGGTTTGTTAGCCATGCAGCAGAGCCTGGCTTTATCAATCATTAGACCAAGTTCTGCTCTTACCTGAAAGCAAGAGCATGGGATTTGAAAATAGTACAGTACTCTCCTTCCAATGAGCCAGATTAGGGTGGTGTTTATGTAACTTCACTAATGGGTATTGTTCTGTGTTCACTACATAAACATGCCAAACAGGCTCACTTAGGAGGTGCCCAGTACAGGCCTCATATTGATGAAAGACATAGATTAAGCAAAACCATGATTTAAAATACTTAGAAAATCTTAAGATTTGGGAAGCATACCATTAACAGTGAGCATGGGGTCAGGCATAGGGTGCCCTACAGTGTGACTTTACTGGCCCTTGTGTTTCTGGGACAGGTTGCGCACATTTACGGCTAGAGAGGGAGTGTTTCAGTGCCCTCTTTTTTTTTTTTCCAGCTAAATTCCAGACAGGATCCAAGAGACTAGGCACTCAATACACTGTCAAGAAATCGCCTGCTGAGAGCCTGAAGGCTCTCTTGCAAAAATCAGCGGGAGCTGATAGTGTTAAGGTGTTGCACACGGAGAACTCATCCCTACCCCCTTCAAGCTCTGCAGTGAATAAGATCCTCCAGCTGGTGCCTCCGTGCTGCAGTTGGGAAATGCAAAATGTTATCCTTCTACCTGGTGCCCAGGGATTGTTAAGGGAAATGTTTAAAGCTGCCAGCTTTCTAGGCTTCCAAGAAATTACTAAGGCAGGCTTTCCCCATCTCACCTTATCTTAGGAAACACAAAATACAAGGAATAGAGTTCCAAGGAATTAAAACGTTTTATAACTTCACGTTTTACAATTAGAGTTGCCAGGTCTTTGTCGGAAGTGTTTGTTTTTGAATTACATTTTCCTAATATAGGTTGAGCATTAATGGCAAAGACTAGTAATAAAAAGGGAAAGAAGGAGAAAGAAAGTGTTCCCATTTGGAAGAGCTCCAGTCTTTGCCATTACTGTGGACAGGCATCTCTAGTTTTTTTCAGCTTTTCAAAGCACAGTTCTGGGTGTGTCTGTGGATCATTGACATGTAGGGCAGCCTATTGGTAGGTGCTGCCCACATCTGGGAGTGGCTCTTCCCTCAACTTTCTGGCCTTTACTGCTTAATAAGTAAAACTGACATCGCAATTAACCTTCACACTGATTGTTAAGTGCTTATGCATAAGTACTTATGCATGAATAAGTATAAGAAAATGATTATTGGTAGAATATAAATCCATAGTCAGGATTGATAGTGATGCCACACAGCCATAGATGGTCCACGTGGGTGACCTATGTGTATAAAGTATATATGAAACAAATGAAGTTCATGTTTAGACTTGGGTCCTATCTATGAAATGTCTCATTATGTAAATACAAATATCAGCAAATCTGAGAAATCCAAAATAGGAACCACTTTTGTTTCCAAGCATTGTAGGCTCATCTTTGAAGAAACAGGAAAGTTGTCCGAACAAAGCGGATGAATAGGATGGGGCCCTGTCACATACAGCAGATGTGCATAAAGCCTGCTGGGTTGATTGAAGTCACTGCAATTGAACCCAGATAGATTTTAGGACACATTGAATCCTATTAGCCTTGATGGGAGGAAAGAACAAATTCCATTTTCTGGCTGGAGCTGGCCTTCTAAAGGGTTAGCAGGGGTCCACTCCTGTGTAGTGACACGCCGATGGCTAGTAGGAAGTGTTAAGTGTTCACTGATGTTAAGAAATTCAGAATGTGAGTAAAACAAAAAAGTGTAACTACGAGATCCTTGTCTTAAGGCAGCCTAAGGGTCCACTGAGTCTCAGACGATGTGACTTGTATGCATAACTGTGCTGTATCGGTTAGGATCCAGTCTCTTTCTCTCTATTTTTATTTATT